ATCCCACTGGTGAAAGCCAAATGGTACGATTGGTCCCCCATTTGAAATCTCCGGCCAATAATCAGGCAGATGTGTTATTCCTACCAGGCCCTTGCCGTGTTAAGGATCCAATAAGGACGTATGTTGCTTTAAAGTAGAAGAACCGTATGTGTACGTATTATGTTTTTTAGGGCAAAAACAAAAATTTTAGCATCTTTGCGTAACTAAATTGCAAAACTAGCAGTACATAATTTATTTATTTTTCAGAAATAATACTTGTTGTATATTTCGACATTCAATTTACGTCAACTTTTCTACTAACGTGGGTTAGGACAGATTTAAATATAAACAATTTAAGTTAAAATCTTGGAGAGGAGGGTAAAAATCAAACTCTAAACAGTTGGTATAATCAAGGACGGAGCCAGGATTCAAACTTTTGGGGGGCCAAAAAATTAACATGTACCAAATATTTAGACCAAGAAGAAAAAAATATAGATTGCGGAAAAAAGAAAGTATATTAAACTTATTTTGAAATACGTTAAGCTCTATAGCCATTTTAATTATTTTTTATCAAGTCTTTTTAACCTACTTGGTTAGTTATGATAAGAATTAAGATTTTCCAACTAAATCTATCTAAGTATAGCTATTTATTTTTAATTTTTATACTTAAGAAATTAATATCTACTAAAACCCAAAAGAGAAAGATATAAAAATCAGCAAACAAAAGCCAATATAACTTCACATTATTACTCAAAATGCATTTATTAGGGTGGCCATTAACTTCAAACATGCAAAATCCTTTTAATATTTTACAATACATTGCTTTGATTGGTGAAAACTTAGAAAACATTGGAGGGGTCAGGGCCACCTCTGGCCTAAAGGTGACTACGTCTCTGGATATAATTATAAGCTTAAATTAAAGATTCTAAGTTTGATTCTCCTTATAACGACGTGACAATACTTTGTTTTTTCCCACTCGTCATTTGTGGATGATTGAAGAATTTGAATTAGGGCTGGAGACAGTTGTTTATACGCATGAATGACTCATTCTGATATACGTAGAGCCAAAATGCATCAACAAATAATGGTCACATTTCAAGAATAAAAGTCACTGCACAATATCAGTCCAAATATGACATGGATATAGCATGCTGCTGATGAATTACTACGCATACCATTGATACCAAGCTGGTCAGAATTTTGTTTCCTGAAACTTAATAGGGCTTGTAGACACGAGGCTAGCACTGCAGAATGGCCTTGTGATTTTTTTAAAGTCCAACTGTTCTTTTCTTTTTTACACCAAAAAAAAAAGTATTATTTTTAAAACAACCTTGTGATTGCAGATTGCCAATGAAGGGGAAATTAAATAAAATAATAAAAAAGAAGAATCAAAGTGATCAAATTGCATCTGATAATTGATATGATTCTGGACAATGCGTCACGGGGGTCATCCATAAATGATACCCACCATCAACATATTATGATAAATAATCGCAATTATCTCAACTTGTAATCACATTTAAGAATCTTAAGTCAAATTGGTCTCCTAAAAGAAATGGATTTTCAACCCTTTCGTGCTTAATACATAGATTAATTACGATGCCCTGCATATGATCCTTTGAGCCCTTTTCTTCATCTGTGATCCAGTTCACGGATTAAACCCAAAATGCACAAGGATCAGATTTTTTGCAGATCTTATTCTGCCATTCTTTTTCCTTTCTTTATTGTGCATTGTGTTTTTTTTTTTCTTCTATGGAAGAATCTAGCATTTGAAATTTAAGTCCTGATTTTATTCAAAAGATGTAGCTGTTTACCATTCACCTGAAATCGAGTACATATTTGGTTCTATAACTTTTGTACATCAACATTAATAATGTTGCATCCTTTTTATAAATAAATAATAATAAAAAAACTCGAAATGTGCCACAAGAGCGTAAAACGGCCGACAGTTAATATATTTGTCAAACTGTGATTTGTATGAAGTAGGGAATGATGAAATTTTTCATCATGAACGTAGTGTTTTCAATTAAACATTACAACTTTTTTTGTCGTTGTTGTTGCTGTTTTCTTTTAAAGCAAATGGTCATCATCGTTCATTTATTATAACCATGATGTAAATGATTGTTGTCCCTAATGCTAATGATGCATGATACACTGAAAGCGATGACATGATTGATTGGGGATTGTGAAGTGTGAAGTGCAAGTATCTTCCTATTTCTTAAGTTTAAAAAGAAAATTCTTATAATCATAAAATAAAAAAATTATTAAATGAACCTTTGAGAGATTTTAAGATACTCATTAACCATTAGTTTTGGAGCATTGGTAAGTGAGTAAACACAACTGCACACAGGCTACCTGTCTGAAAACAAAAATGGTGTTTTCTTGTACCTGAGAGTATTTGTCACGTTTCGTACAACCCACGAATACGTTTCACCCCTGAAAAAAGCAAAAGGAAAAAGAGGAGCTCATGTGACTGATTGTCCGCTGCTATATTCGGGGGGAGAGAGAGAGAGAGAGAGAGAGGGATTAGATTGGAGATGAAATCTTGTCAATCGGGTCGTCTCAGCAGGTCATATATGTCAATTTACCAAGGGGTTATATATTAGGGACATTAATTCTCAAGCAAGACTTCCCTAATTTAGCAAGCATACCCCTCAGGGCTTATCTCTGATGTGTTCCACTGGTATTGCTTGTTGATGTTGCTTTGTTTGTATTATGAGTTGGCTTCTAGTGCGCTTGTTTTATTGTTTGATTTCTTAGGTTCATTGTCCCTAGCCTTTATGAGGTAGTGCTGTGGACTTGCACTGCATTTGTTGACTGGAACTCTCCTTCTTTAGGGGCTGCTGTATATTGCAAATTCTGTAATTTGCCCCAGTTGTGCAATAGAAATTTTATGTATCCCAAAAAAAATAAAAAAATGAAGGGACAAAAACCTTGATTATTTAAAACAATCATGATTGTAGTTAACTGTGAGATCATTAGTAATTAACATTATTGGGATTGTGCAAGAATTAGTAACTTATTCACGCGTGAGTTAGGTTAGTTGATCAAGACAGTGTGTCATGTTCACTTGTACCCGTATTTAATTCCCTCTTCATGAGTACATCATAATAATTTATAAGCACTTTAATTTAATGGGGAATCACAAGCAGCCAAACTTCTTCACAGCATGAAAATCTAGTTCAAAGGGATTGCTTTCTAATTAATAAGCACTTTATTATCTTTAAAAAAATGAATTATATGTATTGATTTCTAACAATAACGGCATCTCCAATTACTCCATTCAATATTAGTGGCAATTTTTTATTTTTTTTCTTCTGAAAATAGAAATATCCAAAT